CAATATGACTGGTGTCCTTAGAAAAGAGGAGATTAGGACAGACACACGTGGAAGGAAGACCACGTGAAGACACAGAGAAGAAGGCCATCTACAAGCCAACAAGAGAGGACTTAGAATGAAACCAACTTTTCCAACACCTTGATCTTGGACGTCTAGCCTCCAGAATTGTGAGAAAATACATTTCTGTTGCTCAAGCCACCCACACTGTGGTCCTTTGGTATAACATCCCCAGCCAACGAATACACTGATGAACAAATTAGAAGATTTAACAACATTGATATTTCCACTCTATTTCATTCAAGTAACTTCTATAATAATAATAATTCCTAACAAATATTAAGCATTTGCTATGTAAGTACAGCACTAAACATTCTACATACATTATCTATTTTAGTCTCTCAAAATAATTCTATGATGTAGGTACTAATGTTAACCACATTTTACATATGAGAAAATGTTATATATATGGCTTGGAGGGTTTGAGAAACTTGCACAAGTTTATCCCCAAGTGGAGAGCTGCCATCTGATCCTAGGTCATCTGATTACAGAACCAGCTTCCTGTTTCCCCTGTCAAGGGATGTTAGGATATTTCATAGTATTTATTAATCTCAAGAAAGTTACGGGAACATAAAAATGAGTGAGCCATGATGCCTCTCTTGAGGAGTTCACAATCCAGTTAACAAAACAAGAGAAGAAATAACTATAATCCTAAGGAGGATAAGATAAATGTCATGTAAAAGGCCCTGCCCAGAACTATTATTTATAACTTGGATGAAGAAATTGACAGCACAATAAGAAATGTTGCTGATGATGCATCTGGAAGGGGCAACATATTCTTTGGATAATAGACTCAAAAATTTAAAAAGAAGATAAAACCACACTGTCAGGGTGGAATGATTAGCCAAATCTAAAGAAATGATGTGCAATGAATAAATAAAACGAACTTCTCCTAAGTCCAAAAAACAGCTGGATCAGAACAACAAAAAATGAACATGGATTGTTAAGTGGACAAAGGGTACTTTAATGTAATTAGCCAGCTGTGTCACTAGTTGTGGATAAGTCACTCAACAAACATTTATAGAGTGCCCCCTCTGCATCGGGCACTGTGCTTGGAGCCAGAGATAGAAAGCTGAGCAAGTGGAACTCGACACTCTCAAGGTGCCCTCAGTCCAGTAGAGAGAGAGACTTAAGTATAGCATTATACGTATAGAAGAATCTGATAGATGCTTTTAAATAAGTCTGAATGGAGCACTCTTGGTATACAGAAGAGAGAGTAAATAATCTTTTTTAGGGTCAGAGGAGGAGGGTAGGGAAGACATTTGAAGTTGCAATGGGAAGGAGGAGCTTAACGAGAAGGAAGTTCATGAAAACCTAGGAGGAATGACCTGTAAATGAAAAGTTAACAGTATGAAAAAGCTCAGGTCTGTTTGGAATGGCTGAAATAGAGGTTTAATCGTGGGCAGAGGCACATGATGGGGCTGAAAAATTGGGCTGGGGCTGAGTTTTGATAGCACTGTTAACGCTACCAAGTTTAACCTTTCTCTACTATGTAACAACAGGGTAATGAAAATTTCTAGAGTAGCAACATGACAACATCTGATTTTTGTAGGATGATTGTTACAAGCAATGTAGAAAAAAGATGAGGGTGGAGAGAACAGTTTCAGAGAGATCAGTTAAGTGGTGGTTGTAATCCTCCAAGTCAGAAACAGCTGAAGCCTGACCTAAGTGTGTCCTACTCAAATTCCTACTAATGTAACAGGAGTGGATCTCTCCACTATCCTGGCTCGGAGTGAAGCTTTGAGCTGTTTTCATTTTTGTTTTCCAGGACTACCCAAGTTTGAGTGCTGGTTCCTTCTATACCACCATAGTCCCTTTAGATGTTCAGGGCTTCATCCTCTTTTAAGGAGCCATAAGAGGTTCTAGGCTAATAAAGAGAAATACGGTAGATTTAAAATGGACTGAGTAAAATCTCAGGATATGCATGGGGGATACTCCTACTGGGATACACGTGAGTCGGGCTGAGGTGCACGCAATCTCAGCGGAAGACCTTCATGCCAGCAATGCTCCTGGGCAGGGCGACATGCAGTGATCTGTTGAATGGTGACGGACAGCTCTCAGCATCGGCTGGGCTCCATCACCTGTCCATGGGTTGGCCATAATGGTCTTTCTTCAGGCAGAGACTGAATGCTTTCTGAATAGAATCTCTGCTCTTCGTGTGATCCCTCCAGTTGGCCCAGAAGGTCACCCTGACCTCCCTCCTTGTCAGGTTCCCTATCTTCCTACTGACTCTCTGGAAAACTGAAGTCTTAATTTATTATTTATATGCTGATTTTATACCTTGATATTTCAAATCTTTACCTTTTGGTTTTCAAAAATTATTCTCTCAAAAAGCTTGGTTTTTATAAATTAAGAGCTTTCAAAACTATTGTGTTTTATAAGGACTTAAAAAAATGGACTGTTTTTGTGTTCAAACTAAATCAATCTTAAACTCCCCTCCTCCTATTCCTCTTAAAGTATGGAGTATCTCTAACAGTCTGCCTCCCTTTATAGGGACATGCATGATAAGACAAGTATGGAAAAGAAAAGCATTTTAATTAATTTTTTCAAAATATAATTTTATTAAAATAATTGTTTGTAAGTCTAGCTAAAATATATGATATACTAGGAAAATGAAGCTCCTAAAATTGATTCAAGAAGAAACAGAAAATAGAATAGGCTAATAAGCATAGAAAAAAAAAAAAGGATGTCAAAGGATGCCAAGTTTTACGTGTGATGTCTTGAAGGATCATATATAGTTCCTATAATTAAAAAAAAATTGCCTCTAAGCATTGGTTTTCAAAATATCTATGAACAATCACCTGAGGAGTTTAGTAATCGTATAGACTCCTGTCTCCCCACCTCAACTTCTCTTTGCAACCTCAATGCAGTAGTTACAAGAGGGGAACCAGGAATCTCAATTTTAAGCAAACAGATGCTTAGAAAGCCGTGCTATCCTTTGAGACACCAGCTTAAAGCCACGGTCTGTAATGTAAACTCTGCATGAAAAATCCAATAGGGAAAGGAAAAAAAATAGAACTTTTATTCATGTTTATTTTTCTTAATAAAAGAAAGAAATTCCTTTACCTCAATAAAATATAATAAAAATAATTAAAAAAAGAAATTTCACTTCAATAGTATTCATTTTGCTGATTAACCTGGCCCCCTCTCTGAGCCACACACACAGACCAACAGAGAAAGGCCCTAGAAGAAATGGATGCCGCCTGGTCCCCTCACTGTTGTATTTGCCCTTTCACACTGCCCTGAAGTTTTCCTGGGTTACATCATATAGTTGTCGCTAAATAAACCCCCACAAAATGGACGAGTGGCATGATTACATTCCTGAATAGCAGCCACAGACCGAAGAGAGCACGCCTAGGATGACACTGTTCCTACCGGTAGTCCAAAGGAAAGGCTTCATCAATCACATTATGAGGCAAAAACAAAGATGATTTCATCAGATATGGAAAACAGCTGCCCAAATAACGTTAAGTGATCAAAAATGTTACTGGAAACTAGGGACCTACACACAGTATCGACAACAACAAATCTTATTCTCAGTGTGTATCAACTGTGATACACTGTGCCTTGTGTATCAACTAAGAAAAGGATGAGATCATCAAAGTATAGGGCATTTATAATCTAAGCATCCAGAATATTATTAATAATTTTCGTTACAGACATAATTTGTAGATAAGTGAAAATACATATATTGTGGTTACGTTCTAACATCATCTTTTTGCTAAGTGTTGATCACCAAAAATATTAACCTCTTCTTTAAGCAGGGCGATTCAAAGTGTGGTGCACGGATGGGTGCCAGTCATGATATTTCCTTTGTGGGTCCAGGATAAGTACAGCAATTGAAAGTTAGTACTTTGGCAGTAATTCGACAGTTATTTTATGTATATTAAGTCTAATAATGAAGAAAGTGGACTTGCATTTTGATTGTTTTTGGTTTTTCATTTCATTTTTCTAGTAATTCCTTTTTATTTTAACAAAAGTAGCAGTCACAATGATTGGAAACTAAGGAAAAAAGGCCGTTAACCACAGATAGTTTGAAAAAGACTGTTCTAGAGCATAGAAGGACAGGCAAATTATCCAAATTTATTTTACAAAGCTAGCATCGTCCTCAGACTAAACTTGACAAACATCCCACAAAAAGAAATCTACAAAGTAATCTCAATTATAATATTAGCAAATCAATCCAGCCTCAAATTAAAAAACTGATATGCCCTGACCCAGTGGAATTTTGTTTTTTTCCCTTTAACTTTTGAACTATAAAGACAGTTCAGTATTAGAAAATCCATTAATACATATTACTATACTAATGCTTAAGACACAATGACACAATTATTCTGATAATTACTCATAAAATTTTTCATCAACAAAATAAGTTATGAAATAATAATGAGTGCAATTTTTCATAATTATATATTTAAACGTATTTATTTATATGAATGAGTATAGAAATATCTGGAACATATAAACCAAAATGTTTACAATGTCGTTTTGGTTTTCATTCACACTTTCTCCTTTTTTTCCCTCCAGCTTTATGGAGATATAATTAACATATAACATTGTGTGAGTTTAAGGTGTACAGTGTGATAATTTGATACACATATATATTGCAAAATGATTACCAAAATAAGCTTAGTTAACACATCCATCACTTCACACAGTTCCCTTTTTTTGTATGTATAGGGAGAACATTTAAGATTTACGCTTTTTAGCAACTGTCAAGTTTATAACACAGTATTGTTAAATATAGTCACTACGCTTTACATTAGATCCCCAGAACTTATTCATCTTATAACTGGAAGTTTGTGCTTTTTGACCAACATCAACCATTTCCCCCACCTCCTAGCCCCTGGCAACGACCATTCAACTCTCTGTGTCTATGAGTTCAGCTTTTTTAGATTCCATATATAAGTGAGATCATATAGTCTTTGTCTTTCTCTGTCTGACTTATTTCACTCAGCAGAATGCCCTCAAAGTTCATCTACGTTGTCGCAAATAGTAGGATTTCCTTCTTTATTATGGATGAATAATATTCCATTAAACATATCACATTGTCTTTATCTGTTCATTTGTTGCTTAACACTTAGATTGTTTCCATGTCTTGGCTCTTATGAAAAATGCTGCAAGGAACATGGGGGTGCACATATGTCTTTGAGATCCTGTTTTCGTTTCCTTCAGATACAGACCTGGAAGTGAGATAGCTGGGTCATATAGTATTTCTATTTCTAATTTTTTGAGGAATCTTCATACTGCTTTCCATAGTGGCTGCACCACTTTACATTCCCACCAACAGTGCATGAGGGTCCCCTCTTCTCCACATCCTTGCCAACACTTGTTATCTCTTTCAAGTACTTTACCTCCCTACTCTGTAGCCATACTTGTTTCCCAAGTGAAGGGTTCTAACAGGGCCAGTCTTCTGCCTTCGAAATTTCCCTCCCCTATCATTTCTGCTTTGTATCTTTGCTTATGTGGTCGCTCTGAATTTTCTGATGGTTCTTTGCCACCTACCTGCCAAATGCCTTTTCTAATAGCTCTAGTCATCACTACACACCTTTACCTTTTTCTTGACCAATTAGACCACATGAAAGCATCATTTATTATAAAATCACTAATACTCTCTAAATATCTTGCTTAAACAATTTAATTTGGTAGTATCATAACTTTCATGTATATTTATATTAGAATCCCCAAAGAAGCTATTATTTCCTTTAGGAAAAATAGTTTATGTAAAAAGAAAACCAAAAACTATTGTGTTGAGTGAAAAACCAAGATGAGAAATTGTGAAGTTAGTATTGCATCTTCACTCATTCTTTCACAGAAATATTTATTGAGGGCCTACTATGTGCTAGATGCTGGTCTAAGAACTAGCGATATCACAATAAACATAAAAGACGGGATCTTTGCCATCAAGGGCATACATACAGATAACATGATAAGACACGTCTGCAAAAAAAAGAAAAAACAGAGTAGGAGGATAGAGGGTGTACCGATTATTTTTCATGTATCCTTCTAGATCTACTCTTTACCCTTTTCTGCTTGACTCCTCCAGTCTCCTGTTTTCCACTGGTTATAAAGAGCTGACTCCCTTGCTCTTCAAGGATATATTATTGGGCCCCAGATGGCTGGTCAGGAAGGCAGAGTCCATGCCCTGTGGTGTGGCATTTCATCTAAATCCAGAAGTGAGTGGAGATGTGAAACTGGTAGGACTTTTCCAGATTCTTGTCATCTCTGGGGGCTCAACAAAAATGGTGGTGGCATGGCATGGTCCAGGAGGTATGTGGCCTCTTCCCGAACAAGGGAAACAATCAAGAGAGTCTGAGGAGCTGTACAAGGTTTTTGTCCAACACAGAGAACTGTGTGAGGAGGTGCCATTTAAGTCAAATTCTCACTGAATTGATAGAGCAAGTCATTCAAATATCTGAGTGAAGAGCTTTCCAGACTGAGGAAATCATAGTGCAGAAGAAAGTTTGAGGAACAGCAAGAAAGCTAATGGGGCTGACTGAAGTGACTGAGGGGGTAGTGACAGTTGAGGTTGGAGAAGTAGCCAGAAGCAGGCTACACAGAGCCTCTTGGGCTATTTTAGAGACTTTAAAAGAAATTATGGATGAGATGAGAAGCTATTCAAAGCTTCCAAGTTTGCCATTTTGGAGTGACAAACTATGATTTAAATTTTAAAAGGATGACTGATGGCTATGTGGGGAACAGACTGTCAAGGGCAGAAGTGGAAGCCCATTGGCCTAAGTCTCTACTAGAATAGATGAGTTGTGATGGGGACTTGCACCAGGGTTACAAGTGTTTGTACGTCCTGATTGGTCAGATTTGGGAGATACTTTGAAGGTAGAACTTACAGGATTTGCTGGTAGATTAGAGAGAAAATGCAAAGTTGAGGATCATTGTAATGATTTTGGCCTGAACAACTAGAAAAATGGAGTTGATATTTACTGAAATGGAGAAGGCTGTGGGAGGGATTTGGGTGAGAAATGAGAGTTCCAGTTTGGACATGTTAAGTTGAGATGCATTTAATATATCCAACAGACAAGGAGAATAGGCAGTTGATATTTGAATTTGGAGTCAAATGGGAAAGTTAGAGCTGAAGATAAAATGGACCTTGTCTCTGTATGTGGCATCTAAAGCCAATTGGCTTGGGTGAGATCATTTAGGAAGCGAGTGTGAATAGATGAGCACTGAGCCATGGGCACTGAAGAACTGTGAGGATGGGAACAAGGCCAGCTTCATTGGCACATGACCTGTGTAGTCACATGAGACTTTGTACTTAAAAGGGCCCTGTGCTTGGTTTAATGCTCGGCTCTCACTGTCTTGAAAACCTTAATAACTTTTGAACGAGGGTCCTGCATTTTCATTTTGCACTGTACCCTGAAAATGATGTGGTAGCTCGTAGCTGGGAACATAGGGATTCAGCAAAGGCAAGAGCCAACGAAGTAGACTGAAAACCAAGAAAGTGTGTCAGTGGTGTCATAAAAGCCACATAAAGAAATTGTATGGAGATGAACAGAGTGATCTACAGTCTCAAAGCTGCTGTCAGGTCAATCATCTCCGGCCTGAACACTGATCATTGTATTTAGCAACTTTGCTGTGATCGTTGCCCAGGTCGAACTGAGTTGTCGAGAGAAGAGGAGAAGATAAGAACAAACACTGGACATGGACAACTCTTGCAAGCACTTTCCCTCTAAAGGAGAAAGCTTAAAACTGGGCAGGAGCTGAGAGAGATACGGAGTCAAGATAAGGTTTTTATAAAATGAACATTTTTACGGCGTATTTTCCTCTTGGCAATGACCCACGAAAGAAGGAAAAAAATGATGAGGCAGGAGTGGAAACAATAATTACAGGAGCAAAGCCCTTAAGGAAGAGAGGGGAATGGGATGCAGTGAAAAGTGGAGGGTTCATCCTAGGAGCAGATGAAATGCAAAGGGCATGGGACCGATGCCCATGCCTCGTGCGTTTTGTAGAAACATCTGTTCTGATTGCTTCTGCCTAAGAGTCAAAGTCTTCAGTGGAAAGTAGGAAGCAGAGAAGGGATGTTGAGGTTTGAAGAAAGAGAAGAGAGTGTGAAACCATCCTCTAGGAGGATGCAAGTAAAGGGGCTAGAAGGGACAGGCAGCATCAAGGGCCGCTAAAGGGTGTAGGTACATAAAAATATATACGGACGGTAAAGTGTGCCAAGATATTGATGTCAGGTATCTCTGGTGATTAATTTTTTTTGAAGTTTTCTGATTCTCTGAATTTTCCCCAGTAGGCATGTATTACTTCCGCAAGTAGCCTTTTAAAACTATTACAGAAGAGTGAAAAGCAGGACATGTAATGTATGAGAGAAGTACTTATAGTTTAAGAGAGGTGACTGGGGAAACAGAAAGAGAATGGAGACATCATTCTGGTTGCCTCTAAAAGTTATGCCCACACAATAGATGAAGAGCAGTCCAATTTTCTGCAGAAATGAGGAACAAGATAAAATATCTCAGGCCCTTTTTCAAGTCATCAGATTTACTCTGTTTCTAGGCTTGAGCCACCTATTGCGTTTCTCAGTTGAGTTTGATAGGCCTAATGGTGGAAGTCTTCCTGGGTTCTGTCACTCGGCTGGCTGCCATTCTTGATTCTTCAGTGGTGATGTGAACTCCCATGCTTGCCTGTGTCTTCACGGGCGTTTTTGTGGGAAGCTGGGTGAGGCTCTGTCAGGGACTAGCCAGACGTCTCTTACACAGAAACTTGTTAATATTTTAAAGTTTGCTTGCTTGTTAAAATGGTTAAAAGTAAATGTCTCTCCTCAGAAGCTGAGGTCCTTGTCGATGTCTTCTTCCAGCTTGTTCTTAGTCACTCACTACTTATGTCTTATTAACAGGTTTGCTTGATGTTTTTTAAAATTTCAAATCAAGATCATTGTTCCAGAAAGGAATTTCAGAGATAATACATTGTTAGGAATGGATTGTTGCTAATTCCAAAACATTTTTCACCCTGTTAGATCCTGTAATGTTAGCTCATGTGTGTTTTTATTTTGACCCATGATAGATGGGGTGGTGAGCGGGGAATTTCGAGGCAACATTTTAAACCGAGTTCCTCTGAGCAATTTACCCTCATCTTTCTGTTGAAATCTCTATGGGGATCGTAAATCTCAGCTCTCACAATAAGAAGTGGGAATTAGATCCTATGATTGCTAAAACACCCCATGGAGTTCAGCTGTGTGGGCGCAGAGGCGGTAACTGCATGGGATGCGAGGTAGGGTGTGTGTTTGGAACCCTGAGGGTGGAGAGTTGAAGATTACAGAGCCAAGTGCAGCTGTGGAAGCCAAGACCAGAGTTTTACATCAGGAGAAAGAGGGGTGGATATTTCTCTTGTTGTGGAAATAACATTTAATTTAGCAATACGTATTTGGATTATGTCACCCTTCGTGAAATGCACAAACGCATTGATGAATTTCTTCCATCATTAAACTCTTTCATAATGAATTTCTTACATAATAAATCTCTTTGATAAACTTATCCATTATTTGTATTCATATATGAAGGTAAGTTCTAAAAGGACAGCACAGTTATCTTAATATTAGTTTATACTGCTACTGAGAACAAAGACAGATGAAGAGTGTTGTCTGAGCAGCACTGGGTCTAATTTGCAAAACGTAACTTTGAAACTTGGGTGATGTTAATGGAGCTATCTGCAAATCAATTGAAGGGAATTATTTGCAGCTAGGCATTTCTTTTCCCGAAGGAATGTCTGTGACTCCTTACACTACATGGGCTGAAGTGGGCAAATGAGAGCTGCAGGATATGCTTAGGTGGAAAGTTCAGGACATGCTTAGAAGCAGATTTTTAGGATCTTCTGAAGAAGGGCTCAAAGAACAGCATGATCAGTAACTGGCTAGATGATGATTAGAGTTGCTTTGGAAGATGATGAGCTAAAGATGGAAAGTTTTCTTGAGGAACCCAAATCCTCATTGCCTGGAACTGTTGCAGTCAGGCAAGCTTAAATTGGTGTCTTTGAGAAAATCATTGTCTCGTTTATTATATTTCTGCATATTTGGGGCTTAAATAAGAAAATATTATACACATGCACACATCCTGGATATAGTCCAAGTTTAAAACATTGTAGTTTATTATAAGGTTCCTGAGAGATGACAACTATGGCAAAGGGTCCCCAAAGCTGGCCCTTCAGAATTAGAAGAAAACCCCAACTTTGGAGACAACATGAAGGTCCAAAGACCTGTAACACCTTATGGACCTGTCCTCTCTCTTTTCTTCATGGGCGAAACTGGGATTCTCTTGTGATTGAAGAATCTTCTCTCCATACCCTCAATCCTAGATGCTTTGGGACACCCATAGATTTTTTTCCAACACTGATAGGTTAAAAGACTATAGTTACCTCTCTTTTTTCACAGCTAGCATAGAGGAATGATCTCAGGCTTTTTGGGGGGTGTGGGGTGGGGTGGGTAATCCTCATCTGAGGATAAGTCTATATATGTTGTAGAAAACCTTGCCAGTTGGGTGGAGGGTAACTTCAGGCCCTGAACAGCTGGTCAGAGAGTCAGTCGCTGGTTCTACTTCAGCCGTCCAGGAGTCTGGAAGTTGAGGAGGATCATAGGGTGATCTGATGGAGAACTACAAAAGGGGAGGATCAAGTCAACCTCTTTCAGACTCATTACAGTCCCCTAAAACATTAATGACCTTTTTGCTTAATACTGATAGGGGAAAATTTTAGTTCACTGACCTTACAAATAATTACAGCTCCTTGGAAAGCTTTTGTTCATGGAAACTGGAAGCACTTCCAATCACTCTAATGATGTTTATTATCTTAATAGCACCTGTCCTTTACCCCGCCTGCATACTCAAAAAAACATTAACTAAAAGAGAGGATGATTCATTTCACATCCTGATGTTTTCTTATGACCACAGCTGTGGCCACTTCAGTGTCCAGCAAAATATTTCTTTGGCAAGTGATTTAGGGAGGGGTGGAAAGTGGAACAGAAGCAGTCTCTGGAAAGCCTTCAACACTGGGGCGTATTCTCTCCCTATGTGACTCCAAGGAATTCCCACTCATGGAATCTGGCCTATCACAAAGAACTTTTCTTTTCTGTGCTTGATTCAACTTAATAAATCATGTCAACCAACTGTGGTGAATGATGACTGTTCTTCATACTACAGAACAATCGTCTTCCTAGCTGAAGCTCTGGGGAAGGAAAGGAATCGTCAGTTCCAGTTCCCTCTTGCTGGGCACAGGCTTCTATCTCAGCTGGCTGGATCCTCTTGCTCAGAACTCCTTTCCTAGAACAAGGTCTTCTTTTTTTCTGACCTCTAGGACACTTACATGCATTCCTCTTCTAACCACCTTTGTCGGCCTTAATTCTGAAATAACTTCTCTTTTTGATGCAGAAAGGTGACATTTCTCATCAAAGAGGCAAACCCTCAATGAGAACAAGATGTCTTAAAAAAAATAAATCATGTCTAATTAAAAAAAAACCAGCCAGATTTAGAAAATGCAGGAGATATTCTCCCCTTTTTAAAGGTAGACTTTAAAAAGTAAATTTGTCCTACTAAATAAATAGCAAGTGGTATATGAAATGGCATGAGAATGAGAAGTACTCCTTTTACTCGTACCACCAACAGTTTATGTGCCTGTTCTCCCAACTGTGTCACAAAGTGCCAAATTTTGGTGCACTGTTGCATCCAATATTTCACATATCTGAGTCTTTCTTAAATAATCATAATGTTTCTAAAGCTCATAACTCTCTTTTTCTAAACTAAACCTCTCCTGGAGTCTGTCTCCACACAAAAGTTATCTTTTCAGCTTTCTTCTTCTAATCATTTTCTGTTTATTTCTGCTCCCTGCTGACCACACCCACCATCTTCTCCAACTGTGTTCTTCACAACCACTCAATCACAGTCCTTGGAGTTTTGCTTTGTTTCTTATTTACCATTTCATTTCCCTTCCCACTGCTATGATCCTAGCTCAGCTTTACAGGCAGTCCTTGATTTGCATGGTAATGAGAGAGTGGAAAGATGACTCTGCAGACAAAAACCATGCAAGGTAATGTTATTAATCAAAGAAGGGAAAATTACAATGGTTCTGGGACCTTTAAAAGTTTTTTGTCAACACATTAAAGACTCTTTTACAGTAGGTTATAAAAATATGGGGGAATTTAAAAATGGTAAAACTAATATTTATTTAGTACATTGAAGTTTAAAACAGTAGAAACGCTGAACAGTACAATGTCTTTTTCTTTGTAGGGATCCCCCGAGCTCAGTTTGAGCAGTGCCCGCCCTTTTCCTCTCCCTGTATGACATACGGTATGGAGTGAGCCTCTTTATTATTCCTCCGTGAATTGTTGTACTCCTTTCTAAATCTGAATTAGTTTCCAGCTATTTATCCATTGTGCCTTCAATACAGCACAATTCCTCCCAGAGTTTCTTTAATGTGAGGGTTTTTTGCCAGTGTGCCTTCTTCTGGGATATCTTCATCCTTTTCATCACCGCCATATTCCTCATTTGTGTCGCTAAGTTTGGCTTCACTGAGTTCCTCTGGATGCACGTCTATCGTCTCTGGAAAACAGTGATGGTGTCAACATTCCCACAGATGGCCATTTCTTCCCTGACTCCATTTATGCTCAATTAGAACTTCACTTGCAGCTTTATCAATTTTGGTTTCCTTGTTGCACTTCATCTCTTAGCCAATTTCCTTTTAGGTTATCCATTTTTTCAAATGTTTAGGTAAGTTTATCCCTGGAAGACAAGGAGGTAACACAACTACATGCTTTGCTGTCTGTGTGTGAACTGAATAACAGATGTGTGGTGGCCAATCACCAATAGACTTTGAAAGAAGTGATGCAATTGGTCACTGAATGTCATGTGCATCTGTTACTTACATAGTGATTTGTGGTTTGAAAATCTAACAGTGAAGTTCCTACTTTATGCAATTACTCACAGTCAATTTATTGAGGTAACTGAGAATTTGAACTGTGTTGTTGGGGGACTGGTATCACTTAAACTGTGGGTACACTGAATAATACACTGAAATTTGTGTATTATTGGAACTGTGCAAGGCGAGGAAGCCTGATTATTACCAGGAAAATTTTCTGGTTTCTGTTTTTATCTTTAGCATTTCCAGTCAAGCTTACATTCACTGGTCCAGATTTTCCTCTAGGATGAGTACTGCCTTATTCATCATTTAACCACTCATGGGCCTCACAGAACCTTAGATGTAGTTTTCACCCCAACCTCAGAATAACCTAATTATAATATCTTCCTGGTTGGCCTAAGCACCTGTACTTACATTCTGAGATTGCATCTCTATTAAGCCCCTGGGGGTCCCTGAATCCTGCTGCAGAACTAGAGAACTGAGGCTGCTTTGTTGTGCTTGTTGTCATTGCTGCTGCTGTGTAGTTCATAACTTCTATAAGAAGTGAGTTAGAAGACTCTGGACCTTTGTTAAACCTGGACTTTCTGAATGTTGTGTCTGAGTGATATTCCCAGTAAGGTGGATCTGAAGAGCTGTCCCTTTTGTTTTCTTGGTCTTCTCTACAAGACTTGCTCTCCAAATACCTCCAGGCCTGTGAGAGTTAGTGCTGAGCTCCCAAGTAGAAACACAGGGTTAGACTTCTCAAACTTGTTGCTTTGTAGGAGACAGCAACAAGAGGCACTTCTGCCAGGTTTTCTCTCTGTGGTCTCCCAAATCAGAGTCTTGGAAGAGGAATCTTGTCTGTTATTTACTGAAAGGAACGCCTTTCCTTGGTACCACTGTAGTGAGATGTCAATGCTTTCTTCTTCATAGTCTGCTTTTTCGTTCCTAGGAAACAATACAATATCCCTGAATTTTCCTTTGTATATGCTTAAAACATCCTCTAAAGAATAAGAGGTAATAGGAAGAGGCTTTTTCTGACTCCTTATTCTGAGACCCCAAAGGAAATCCTATAGAGCCAAGCTGGGCAGACCTTTGTGTCTATTTCGGCCAATAGAGTATAATGGAAGTGATGCCACATGACTTCTGAGGCTAGATAATAAGAACACCTTGCATTTCTGCCATGCCTTCTTAGGACACTTCTCAGAAACCAGCTTCTATGCATGCCATGAGGAAGCCCAAAACTAGCCCACATGCACAGGCCACGCATAGGTAATTTGGCCAGTAGCCCAGCTGAGGTCCCAGCCAATAACTAGCATCAGCTGCCAGACATGTGAGTGAAGATACACGCAGATGATTCCTGTCCTCATATGTTAAGTCATCCTAGTCTTTGAGTCTTCCCAGCTAATGCCCCACACAGGGTATAGCAGACATAAGCAGAACATCCTGGGTCCAGACTAAATTCCTGATCCAGAAAGTCTGTGAATACCCTTGTTACTTTTATACACTTGTATGCCACTGAGTTTGAGGTGGTTTCTTATGAAGCAATAGTAACTGGAACAGAAACACTTGACTCTTTAAGACACTTAAAATTGTTTGAGTGGTGAGACAAGTGAATTTATCTTTTCTTATCTATACTTTCTAACATCTCCACAATTCATATGGGTAACTTGTGTAGTCAATAAGGAAATAGTGATGTGGCTGATTACATGTGAATGGGAGAGGGAAGGCTCTGGGATGCCTCCCAGGTTTCATGTCTTTGGACACTAGTGAGAAGAGGTTGTCATGTATTCATTGTTTCCCTTATCTCAGTCATATAAAGAACACTCATAGCACATTACTTCTTGTTAAAGTGTTGCATTAAGCAATTTCTTCAGAATTAGCCCCAAAACTGTAATAAAATGTGATGTGATAATTTCCCACCCTCAGCAAATACTGTCAAAATGTAGAAACCGCCTTATCACTTGTAGCCAAATTGTTAATCCTGGGAAAGATGCATCTGAATTCTATATACCCTACTGGATGGTCCACTGTGGACAACTTTCATTTTCCCCATCTCATCTCCTCATTTTGTGTTTGAACAAATACAATTCAAGATTTAGGATCTTTCTGCCAAAAACCAAATGAGGAAGCCAGATGATTGAGGCCCTTAGAAGAATAAGAGGCAGTCTGAATAAGAAATAAGGATTAATTTGACCACTAGTTCACCAAACAAAGCCAAAATATTAACATCAAGGAATGATTGATGGTGTAAGTACATGCACCAGAAGTTGCTTGTTTCAACTAATTGAATTCAATACATCAGTGCAACTAGGCAATTCTAAGTACTTAATTTTTCCTTAGCAAGTGAGTGTAACTTACTCTTTCATCTTCTGGGGGCAAAAAAGCATTTACTGACTCCAGAATAGATTGAGCTGTGTTAAGGAGGGAGCCGCCACAACATCAACAGAAAGCAAATTCTACAGGCAAGTTTCTAAACTGTTAGAACTTTAAGAGTATTCTGGTGGTACTTCTTAGAAAAGAGAAGGAAGTAATGTTTCACCTGTGGAGTAAACTAGAGGTCAAATGATTTCTTCCTAACTTCTTGTAATCTTAAAGGAGATAGGCTCTGAAAATCTAAAAAAAATTCTATCTTGACCATTTGGCATAGAATAGTTGGAGGTTGAAAGGAGGAATGACAAGGCTTTTGGAGGGATAAAAAATGAAAATAACCAAAATTACATCTTTCTTACATGAGTGGCCAAAAACAGAAAGCTTTACACAAGGTTTTTAGTCTTGGCAGTCAGTATTGCCCTTACACCATCAAATGTCATTGCAATCATATGGTATCAATAACAAATGAATAATGGCTAGAACGTTTAAGGTCTGTTCTTGCAGACTTTAGATCTGAATTCTCACAAATCTCAAAAGCATGTTCATTCTGAATTCCGGCCAGATTTTTGACCTTTCTGCTGACCTGAAAGGGTTATGTATCTGGGGTAAGACTCAAACTAGTGCCTGGAACATCTTTCGGAATGGCCAAAATATTTTCTTTATGACTGTGGAGCAACTTCCAAATCATATTGCTTTCTTTTGCAAAGGCTTCTAGACTATTGAGTTTTACAGCATATCCCATATAATCATTTCCAGTTTCTGTCTCAAGATTTGGGTTAGGCTCTTTCAATATTACCTAAACACTCTACCAATTGATAGCATTATGTTGGGGCTATTGAATTAGATTTTGCCCCAGAGGCCACACATGGGAGGCTATGTCTATTATCTACACCATTTTTATTGGCCTTTGTGGTAAGCATGGTCAAGATATAAAAGCTTTACCTAAGGTGGTAGGAATGGAGAAAAGAAAACGAGAGAATGTGATGACATTCTGAATGTGGGTTGTAGAGGAAAAGGAAACAATGTTGACTAAGTCTTCTGAGTAACTGAGCTCATAATAAGATGCCTGAGGTAATGTGGATAATTTAGTTTTGGATGATCTCATGCTAAACTGAAAAATAATGTATTGTTAACATGCTTCAGCCAGGTCATAGGTTTATTTAAAAAACACCCTTTATATAGCAAAACTGTTATCAAACAATGTTGTAATTTAAATGGCCCCTTCCAAAACAGAGATGTTAAAGTGTACAAAGGGTTTACATCTCAGCGTTATTTCCTGCTGTATCTTAAAACTAAAGCATCTCAAAATTAGGTCACTCACCAAGCATTCTAAAACTCAAAGCCAATGAAAATGTCCTCGCTTTCTTTCTTACTTAGCAACCTCAAGTGCAAGAAATTCTCCTGTTAATATTAAAGACAACTACTTCTTATTTATATAAAAAATATTAAAGTGAGACTAAATATTTTTAAACTATCTTAATTTGATTTTAAAAATTGTTTGAAAGCCTACTTTAAACATCATACTTAATGGTGAATTACTGAAGGAATTCCTTTTGGTAAAAGAAAAGGTACTTCCACTGATATTATTCAATATTGTTCTGGTTTTATTCCCAATGCAATATGACAAGAAAAAAGAGGTATATATTATAATTGAACATAAAATTATTTTCACACTGACATGATTTTCAGAAAATTATGAAATAATGGCTCAAGGGGAAAGATGAAAGATAATACAAAACTCAATTCTCATCACAAAGAAAAAAATTTGTAACTGTGTGTGATGATGTAACTAAACTTACTGTGCTAATAATTTTGCAATATATATATATTATGCATATATATATATATGCATTCCACTTCACAGGAAGAACTAACAACTATTTATGAACAAGACACAACAGAGAGAATCCACAGAACCACCTGCACCACAGAGACCAAGACAGACTGCACTAGAAGGATAAAAGAAGTGGCTACACACTGGCTGCAGTGCCCCTCCCCCAGGCCAGGCAGCACCACATGGAGAGGTCACCTCTGAGCTTCTGGTTTCTCCACTGGGACAAGAGAGCCCGGGGGACAATGAATTGCCCAGCATTGAGGGTTGTTTTGTGGGACCCCGTACTCTGATCTGGCCCCTGGGTATTGCAGAGGAATCTGTAGGGCTCAACCACTGGGAATCTGACCGAAATGAAAATGAAAAAGAGGGGATGGATTTGCAACAACCAGCACACAGATCTTGGCAGACCAAATTCATACCTCCAGCGCCCAACTATTAATCCCTGTCAGCAGCTTTGCTCATCTGAAGAACCAAATTGGTGGCATACTCTGACCAGGGAACTCATTGGGGGTACAGATCTGAGGATTCCAGTCCTCAGATGAGGAGTTTTGCTGGCACTAGAGCCTGGTTTGCCCATGCCCAGGCAAGTAGCTGAGTATTAGCCCCATCCACTACTGAATATACTACCCAGTCCTAACCATCTACTAAGCCTGACTAGAGAATCCAGGTAACCATGAAGACCATCCTACAACCTCACTTAGGTAGGAAACCAAGCCAACGGTTCTACCCAACTGTTCTCAACCAGTAGCACACCCCCTCATCCCTGACCTCAGAGCTCAAACAGTTGCCTTGCACTAAAATAGATCATAATAGCAGGCCCTATCTTCCCAAGGACATTATCAGCAGACATGTCCAGAAACCCAAAGTGAGTTGACTGGTGAAGATCTGTCTCTGCCAAAGCAAACCTTTAAAGTCTGGGAAGGAGCTCTGTTACCCAAATGCACAGATACCAATCAAAGGAATCAAGGATAATAAAAAAATCAAGTAAATATGACACCATCAAAGGAAACTAATACACCTCCAATAACTGACCCTAAAGAAATGGAGATCTATGAACTGTCAGACAAAGGATTCAGGATAATCCTCTTAAGGAAGTTGAGCAAACTACAAGAACACATAGACAAACAACTAAATAAAATTAGGGAAACAATGCATGAACAAAATGAGAAGTTTGACAAAGAAATAGAAACAATAAAAAAAAAAAAAAAAACAGAAATCCTAGAGTTGAAAAATGCAATAATTGAATTGAAGAATTCAACAGAGAGTTCAAAAAGCATACTCAATCCTGCAGAAGAAAGAATCAGTGACCTGGAGGATAAGGCATTTGAAATTATGCAGTCAGAGGAGCAAAAAGAAGAGTAAAAACGAGTGAAGGAAGCCTAAGAGACTTATGGGACACAATAAGAAGAATCAATACTTGCATTATGGGAATTCCAAAAGCAAAAGGGAAAGACAAAGGAACAGGAAGCATATTTAAAGCAATAATGGCTGATAACTTCCCAAACCTGGGAACAGAAATGGACATCCAGATTCACGAGGCCCAAAGGATCCCAAAGAGGTTGAATCCAAACAGGGCTACACCACAACAAATTATGATTAAATTGTCAAAAGTAAAAGACAAAGAAAGAATTTTAAAAGCAGCAAGAGAAGAGAGAAGTTACATACAAGTGAATCCTCATAAGATTATTGGCAGATTTTTCAAGAGAAAATTTTCAGGCCAGGAGAGAATGGGATGACATAT